TTTGATAATGATTTAAAAAAAACAAATTATTATTAACACGAAATTAAAATGATTGTTATATTCCAATCCTAGTAAAGTATAATTAAGCGCAACTATAGGGCATAACAACATGTGGCCAGTCTAATTATACTGTTTGTTTTGATAAGGCTGTGCAAAGAGATATCAAAACTCTTGACACGCTCTTTACACGCGAGGTCTTTGCACCTCTTGACACGTCTTGGAATCTCTAGATACGCGGAGTTCCTAGACTATCTTTGCACGTCTAGAAATTGCTTGGAATTTCACATTTGACGCAGTGCATCTACTCACATAACCTACTCATGATCTCATCATGTTATCCAATCAGTCGAAATCGCGTTCGATTTCACTAACGTTACGACGTTATATCAACCGGAAATAAAATAATTCAACTCTAATTTCAAACGTGTTGAATTTTAATTATTTCCTAATTAAACAGTCTTCACCACAAACCACACAACATAATATCACATATATTATAGGATTAAATTGGAGCCAGCAGCCACGCCAGAACCTTCTAAAAAACGGGCAAACTAGTGACCAAAGCTCGAAATGTCTCTTCTTTGAGACTTCCAACAAAGGTAGTCTTCCTTGAATCAGTCCAAGGCATCGTATCTGAATCACACGTACATATGTATCTGTCTTATATGGATCTCAATCCAACAAAGTAGTCTTCTTTTAATCAGCTCAAAGCATCTAATCTATATCACGCTTGTATCTATCTTATATGGACAAAATGTGTCCCAGTGTTCACATAGGCTTGTATCCATACCTTACTATTGGTTGTATTGTATCTATCTTATATGGATCTCAATCCAACAAAGCAGTCTTCTTTGAATCAGTCCAAAGCATCTCATTTATATCACACTTGTATCTATCTTATAAGGACAACTTGTGTTCCAATGTTCATTTAGGCGTGTGTCCATACCCTACTATGGTTTGTATTTCCTGAAATTACACAGAAATAGCATTAAAAACATGTAAATATCGCATTGTCGCTCCAAGCGACTAACCCCTTTTTGAGGTTGCTAAATTGTACCTGCGTTCGACGCATTATACGAATCCGTCAACCCACGATACAAGTAGACTTAAAGTCTTTTACGTCAGAGTTCGAACTGTACTGCATCAGAACAACTGCTCGACGTAATAGCTATAATGCCAAACATGATAACATTTTTTACGTCGGAGTTCCAACTGTACTTCAACAGAACAACTATTCGACGTACTGGTAATAATGCCAAACATGACAACAATTTTTTGTCTGAGTTCCAACTGTACTTCAACAGAACAACTATTCGACGTACTGGTAATTATGCCAAACATGATAACATTTTTTATGTCGGAGTTCCAACTGTACTTCAACAGAAAAACTATTCGACATACTGGTAATAATGCCAAACATGATAACAATTTTCATGTCGGAATGTCAACTGAACTTTAACAGAACAACTGCTCAACGTAATGCCAAACACGTTCAATATAGAATGCAATTAGCTGACGAACACTTCTCTAATGTGTTTGTTACACTAATATTGTAAATGTTGCTAGGAACACAACTATCATCTTAAAACCATATTAACTACTATTCGACGTCATGACTATAATTTCAAACATGACAACAATTCTTATTCAACAGAAGAACTACTCAACGTAATGGCTATAGTGCCAAACATAATAACAATCCTAAGTCAGAGTTCCATTACGTAATTTTACTAAGTGTATTTCTTGTTGTTGCAGGTAAAACATAACAATCAAGTAGTCTATCTGAATTGACAACTTCAAAAATCAATTCACCAACCAACACAATCGCTTGAACTAAACTATTCCAAAATAGATTCTATCATCTTTCAAATAACCTGCTCAATTTTAACCAAAATCATATGCATTAATAAATATTAAACATCAATGTTTGCAAAAACATGGATAATCCAGAGAACATACCTGAATCCAAATATCCAATGTATCAACTCAAACCATTTGTCTATCATACATAGATTTCTCTATGCTATATACAGTAAACTCTAAAAATGTACAATTATCATTTGGACCAGGAATCGACACACTAAGCTCACGCTTATTTCAAAATGTATCAAGTATGGAGCAACTCCGCAATTTTTCATTTAATCTTTTAGAATTTATTCAACATGCAATAATCGTGCATTTAACTAACAATGTAACCAAAGTAAATGTCCAAAACCGACTACTCCCAGTCTCGAATCAAGACAATTCAACTATCTTCTAAAGAATAGTCAATCTTATATAAACTCGATCAAGGTTTTAAACCTAAATGATAATATTAGGGAATTCAATTCACCTGCCTAATCAGACCACTTAAAGTATCTATTCAAAATCATCAACTCGCCTTAGAAAAGTATCGATTTTCATACAAATCGAAAACAAGAGTGTTAAAGACGAAAAGTAAGCAAATACAACCATTGTAAAGTATGCGTAACAAGCATATGTCTGAATCCGACTACCCGTGTATCGATTCACAACATACCTTCAAAGATAACCATCTTCTTTATCAATGTTATAAACAGAGAAACTAGACCGAACTGTTGGTATAAACACCCTATCAGAAAACCTAAAATGTTGATATTACACAATGCAGTTTTATAGAATTCCACTTCTATTTTACACGACCAGTATTCAACAATATCGATCCACGACATTTTAAGCTGAAAGAGCTATTTATAAACATGTAAATTAAAAATATACTATACTATTAACCTTTTTGCATCTATCAACATTAACTGTTTGAGCCTGAATACGACTACTCTTAGAACTCATTTGATCAAGCAGTTTATATAACTGAATCAGTCAAATAAAATATTCTCCATAATTAAGCAACTTGTCTATGAAGACGAAAAGTTCTGAATATAGAAACTTATACAGGATACAATTTGTTTTTGTACGGATATTCAGTATCTAAAAAGATATGCCTGAACTCTACCCTCTTGGTAACGATTCACGACATTTCCCAACCAAAAAGTTCTTTATGATTACTCTCAGAACCCCTTAATGGCATTTTGATCATTTCTAACTATGAATCAATGTTGTGAATAGCAAACAAACATGTTTGCGATAACATATAGCCTACAAAAAATTCATTAAGAATCTGTCTAATCCAAGCATCTTCTTGATAATAAAAGTTATGAAAGTGTACAATTTCATTTGCAGGATATGAAGTATCCTAGGTGTAACTATGAATCCGACCCTCTTGGTAGCGATTCACTGCAATAATGTCATAAGCTTATAACTTAAATACCATACAAATATAGATTACCAAACAACGACATTTAACAATTCAACAATGACTCCTGAGTAACACAACTTGTTAGGTGTTTGTCATGACTTACAACATTGAAATGCTTACGTTGCACAACTTTATTAGTTTATACAAAAACTATAATGTAATATCTATCTCTGTATATGCGCAACATAAGAGTTCATTTGAAAAACTTTTGCTGTAAAATAACATTTTAAAATCTTTGCCCAACGCTGCTTTTTGCTGAACCGAGGGGGCATATTTGCACCTTGCAAATACCATGTCTGAAACAAATCAACAAGCCTAAAACCGTAACTCTGGTTTAAAACTGCCAAATCTAAATTCCATCTCCCTATAACACATAAAATGCAGTCTTTGTAAATCTTCGGAAAACGTACCCGTTTGCGTAGTGACCTGAATATCTGAAACAATTTCAAAAACATGAATATTTTGACAGTCAAGTTACAAACATCCAACGTCTGTAGCAGTGTGACGTCTTGCCCATGACTGAACGATAGATCTTGCAATCTTTACTGTTTAGTGCTCTTGCACCTGTGACCAATCTAAATGTGTGTTTTTTTTGTTTTTTTTAGCAAAACTTACAAACCCTATATCCTTACATTAATAAAAAGGATATTTGATTTGCCAAGCAAAGCTGTATAACAATTACTTATCTTATTCATTGCGATAGCTGAACCCTCTTTGTTTAGCGTTCCCGCAATCCAAACATTGGTCCTTAGCGTTGACTTCTTCTCATGAACCAGCGCACCTCTCGGATAACGTCGCATCGTTCGATGTTACTGAAACTCAAACGATTACTTGGTCACTTTTCGGGTTTACATGTATAATATCGTTTCAATCGTTTATGCAGAGCATTTTGATATGTGGTCGATTACTCTAACCAATCAACAATCTTTTCTATCTAAGGAACACCTTACGAAATTGCAAAACATTACTTGTTTCAATATAAACTACTTCTTACCCTTGCCAAATCGCTGGTTTTCTTACTGCATGTAAGACGAGTATCAATCCCAATGTAGAAACACATTGACGGTATTACAATATATGCATCCTCTGTTCATCGTGTATAGGTATCAATATATGCATATAACAAGGGCTAAATGATAAAAACCGAATGCACCCATAATAGTCGCATCTAGCTAAAACTGTGTATAAACGCTTCGGTTGCTGCTCGCAGAATAACACGATCCCATCGTGCATCTACTCACATAACCTACTCATGATCTCATCATGTTATCCAATCAGTCGAAATCGCGTTCGATTTCACTAACGTTACGACGTTATATCAACCGGAAATAAAATAATTCAACTCTAATTTCAAACGTGTTGAATTTTAATTCTTAAAAGAGAGCTTAACTAGACTCTGCACGCAAGGTACTCCTTTACTGATAACAACGACATAGTTCTCTGAATGCTGAAAATCAACAAGACAATAAAATTAAATGTCACTTTAAAATTGCACTAAAGTCACTTGAACACTCATAACATTTGAAAGTTACTTGAAATGTGAAACTCTGTTGATATTTAAAAATTGGCTAAATGAAGGTATTTGCTGTAACACAGGTCCCCTATTGAAGCCATGGCTCATAAGGGAATTGTTCAAATAAAACAATCAATACACATTCAAGCGAATCTTTGTGAACCACAAATACAAATATTTATTGGAGTAAACTTTTCCAATTTGTTTTAATAGTTTATATTGAAAGACACAATATAATGTTTCACTCCATACAAGACTGTTGCGCTGCCTTTCAAAACACTTGGGGACTTGTTGGTTCAATTGAAGTTATGATCATGGTATACAACATGGATTACAAGGATAAACTCATGTGTTTTTCACCTGAAATCTAAAGTATAGTAGATCAACAGCATTTCATCATCTTGATTGTCAGGGTAAGTTATGTTTATTTGTTTGATACAACAATCATCTACGTTTCTATAGTCACAACATGAGTTAGTTTAAAATATTTGTGTTGTGCACAATTTCCTTGAGAGAAACATTATTTCCAGCATCTTGGGTCTTTGAATCGGCGTACCAGAATGATCAGAATGATTGAAAAATAAACGTTCCCGAGCTTGTGAAATATGGTCTTATACGGTATCAGATTTCACTGCATTAAAACTAGTGACAAGACAGGTGTAAAAGGGTAGGAGGTCCTATCAAATTATGGTCCTACTTTCCATTGATTTGTATGGTTACCTAAATACAACTCTTTCCCTTATTATCGTATCCACAATCAGGGCCAGTAAGGGCCTTTAAGAAAGGGACCATAATCCCCAGGGGCCATAAAACATTACAAGCTTATTACACTTATTAGATTAATATATACGTTTCTAGTGGTGCCCCACTTTAGTTTTAACTATTTCTGTTACAACAGATATAATAAAAATAAAGCCCCAAGTTAATCAGAAATTATACATATAATTTCGCTGAGAGGAAAATTATTTCTATTAAATTATATCCAGCGTATTGGGTCTTTGAATTGGTTTCTTAATTACGACGATTTACGAAAAAGTACAGTTATGGATCAGTTATCTAATCAAGCCCAATAAGAGTCGCATTGACGCTTTCCATGGGACCATCATTTCTGTCACACCTGCATATCTGATATATGAGGAGGAAAAAACAAAAAAATTGAAATTATTATTTCCAATGGTTTGCTACAAGCACTGGTCTACAAAGTAGCCCAGAAGACGGTGTAAACACTTATCAAGTAGGTAAAAATATCAATATTGATATAATCTGGCAGATCTAACAATCAGAAAATAAACACACGGGATTATGACACGAAATCAGCATAAAACAATACATCCTTATTACACAATAAATAAATTCTATGTACCCCTGTTGGCCTTACAGTTCTACTCAAAGTATAAATGAACGGATTCGATCTGAAAATATTTGTTAGTGGACAAAGGACCCGTTGCAGATTCTATTGCCGCCTCCCCATAAAAAATATAGATTCACCTGATATTTCAAAATGAAAGTACTGGTTTAATTATTACATTTATTTGCACACTGGTATCTTGTTGACCTATATTCAGTATTGTATTGATAAATGGGCCACTTATTAGGGTCAATATTCAATCATGAAGTGTAGATGGATACACCCTTGCTGGACGTAATGACCCAAATCTCAGCCTATGTGTGTCCAAACACTTCAACGTTTTCCAAAGTATCATTTAACATTGTAATCTTCATTTTAAACCCAATAAATTTCATGGGGAATGTCAGCGCCAAATGTCAATAAACCGTTTTCAACAATGAGATTAATGCTGCCTTAGGAAATTTGTATATATGTAAGTGATTCATAATTTGATTGAAAAATCTATTTTTTGTATTGTATTATCAATCAGAAAATGCTTGAGAACTGAGTTAGTCCAACGTATTGGTCTCTATTCACGGAATCCAAGCAATACTTTCCTGGCGGATGTGCTACCGTGACTGTAATATTCCTATTTAGAATGGTCGTCAAAGTCCATTATCGAAGAAATAAATAGATTCGTATCCAAGAGACAATTACTGGATTAACACAAGGAGGATGCGCTATTATATCTAGTCGTTAACCTGTCGTTAAGTCTGTATGTTTAAAGATGCGGAAATAAAGATGATTGATGAAATGATTATGCCTCAATGTAATGTCCGACGCAACTTTAGCTTAAAGCTAAGTAGTCTAAAGTGTGTTCCAAAGCATTGAAATATAGATTCTGAGTAAGGAACGATCATTTCAGCATTGAATAATGTTCAGATTTTTACCCACCTCCCCTGATATAATTCTCTTTGGACGTACATATTGAACATCGGCATCGGTTAGCCAGGACATTCATAAGTCAGCCACAAAGCATCAGTGAACTGTCTCCTTGTCTCAGTTTTAAGAGTTATTTACCTGGATACTTTAGCATTAAGAGCTTCAGATAATACATCAAGTAGAATTACTTCATACTCCATAATTTCATTACATTGTCAGACCTTCATCGGAATCAAAATTGTCATGACTGGGGGTAATCAACTCCTCGAATAATGCTGTATTAGTTTGGAATGGAGATGTTCAGACCTGTGTGAAAAGAGATCAAACTGCATCTGAGTTAAACTCTGAGATCTTGACTCGTTCTAATGTCAGTAGTACGTGAAACGAGGATTCTGGTGCAGGAATGTCGATAGCAAAGAAACTCAATGGAGCCTGATAAATGATATCATAAATGAATCGATTTGTATTCTATTTGATGGTATTAATAATTTAACACTTCAGTTTATAAGAATACTGACAATGGAAAGTGGAAACCATCATTGTCGTCGGTAAAAGGATGTTGACTAATATACTATATATTCATCATACATGAATATAAGCAGAGACTAGAAGTTTACTTTAAATGGCTGTACAAACATCTAAATATCGAACCAGATCAACGTGTTGAAAAGGCGAGTGAAATACTATAGCAATTTTAACAATTCGGCAATTGGCGATAAATGTAATACTATGTCTGCACTGAAGACATTTTACTAATGTATAAGTAATAAGTATATAGTAATTTATATATCATAATTTTCGACAGCTTGATACAACTAATTTAATGATTGGCAGCTTCCTTTATATGACGACAAAAATAACCATTTATCCGTTTTTATTGCAAATCTTGTTTCATTTTCAGGACGAATTTGAAATTGATTTCACTGAGTTTCCAGTCCCATCCTCGAACCAAAAGTAGAAAATATGAACGTTTATATACATTGCTGAAACAAAGATGGAATGAAATGAACACCCGGTCATAGTTAATGAAAACCTGGCGTACTGGATAACAAACTGACACTTAGGGGTTTATTGACATATATTGAAAGTCGAGAAGTCGGATACAAACAATATATAAGTATGTCGTCACCGATGAGGCCACAGAGCGTGAAGAAGTCGTCGGTCAGAAGGGGCTCGATCAAGCACTTGCAAATGGCGAGCCTCACAATTGGAGCGACGGTTGGAGCATTTCAGCAAGTGCATGTCGACAAGAAAAGTGCAAAGGATGGTAGGTTAAAACCTCCTTCATACGTTTGGCAAAAGTAAGTCCATATGGGACATTTGTTAAAGTCTGCTTATGTAACCTTTGATTTTGCTCTTCGGTTACAGCAGATCTGGAATTCATGATGAATTTCAAGTGCAAACCCCAAACATATAAGGTCTATCACACGTAGCTCAAAAGGGGGCTTTCACTTGCTAAACTTCCCGAGGATACATTGGTTGTCAGTCAGATATTTCTCAGTCAGTCAGATAGGCCTTCCTTTCCAATGAAATCAATATTAAACGCCATGGACTATGCTCTGAAGCCCGGATATACTGTCATTAATAAAAAAAAATCAGTCTTATTCTTATCCATTAAGCTTATAGCAGTCAGTCTTATTCTTATACATGTAAGTAATCTAGTAAGTCATGCATAATATACATGTATACACCACGCATTAACAACTCAGTACACTAGCGGACTTTTTAAACATTTTTAATATATTCCTGGGCCTGAGACCATGCTGCTACGATGCTGTTTGCAATAATCAAATCTTTACGTTGTAGATACTAGAAGAAGGAGCTCAGTCAAAGATGGGAGTATTGTTACAGAGAGTAAAAAGTCGTATGGCAATGATACGGAAACATCCGAACGTGAAAAACGTAAAATGTCGAAACAGCTGAAAAAGCAAGCCAACAGACACAGGGTATTTATAGACTTATCACATATTTTAGACACTCAATTGATACAAGTAAAAGTAGCATGCTTTGCATTCGTGTACAAGCAACCCAGCATACATCTTTCTAGTTTTGCTTTCAATGTTAATTTTTCAGTCTTGTATCTAACGACTATGTTGTCCATTAGTCTTCAAACAACTCGAACAAATCACTGGTCTATGGAATATAGCAGTGAGGGGCAAAGGTTTGATGCAAGACTACTACATCTCGTACTACGGCCAACCATCTTGTCCAAACTACCTAGATTCAATTTGACTTCAGATATTTCTTGTAGCAGGGGGGGGGGCAAGACATGTAAAAACATTTGGTGACAGGTTACCAATCAGGCTTAGTCATCATTTTCGAGTCGGAGTTTGACCATATTTTAGAAACTATATATTTAATTTCTCATTTGAGGATGCAGCAATTATGATGAAACATTGAAAACTTATCATTAAGTGATGTATGAAGAATTCCTAAAAGTTTAAGACTTTTCCAACAAGATTTGGTAGATATGGGATAATTTGTTTCAAAAACTACACGAATTTTTCAAGATTTCTCAGTCAGGGGATAGTTAATCAGCCATTTAAAAAGAATTAGGACCTAGTATAAAACCTGACTAAAAAAATGTCACAGATGATGCACATGTTTATTGCTTACATTTCAATAAACAGTACATAAATCCATTTTCCTGATTTTCTCCTTACATTCCCCTAAAAATTCAACAAAGGGGGCGTGGCACCTTACACTTTAGTTGGAGAACTTAATTTGTTGCTAGGGTCAAATAGAAACTGTGTTTCATTACAGCAGAACGTGGTATCCTATATTACTGGATGAGCATAATGTAAAAGTGGTTTTGAAAAGTAGCAAATTTCTCTTTATGTAGGTTTTTTGTGGTTTATTATTCTACATTGATTCTGAAACTATTGGTGTCTAGTTTTTCAGCGTTTTGGAAATATGCAGATTTATACCCCCCTGGTGTTATTTTAAGAGGGGTCCTAGGAAAGCCATGTATAATTCCTAGAGTATCCAACCAATCATCTTGAAATTTACAGGTAACCATCTTCTTATCATGTCCTATCATTGTGAGCAGTTTCATCAATATTGGTTAGCTGGTTGCTATGGTAACAGAAATCACTTGTTAAAAAAGTACACATTTTCGTAAAAATTTAAGACCTACCCTGAGACAAAGCACATAATATTTTCCTGGAATTGGGAGGAATTAGCATGAAAACATATTAGAAAACTTATTTAGAGTATGGTTGATAATACTAAATCAATTGATGTTTTATTTTAGCCATACAATTAATTATATTTGCCGATGATAATATGGCTATGCAAAAAATGTGTAAAAGGGGGCGTGGCACTTTTCCCAAGAAAACTTTATTTGTACCCAAGTTTGTGAATAAATATATGACTATTCATTCTGATATTAACAGATATTAGTATAGTTATGATGTTTAACCATCATGGGAAGTTTCACTATTGTTGGTCTGCTGGTTGTTATGGTAACAGAAATCATTTGTTTAAAACAATTGTATTTTCTTAAAAATCTAAGACATACCTTGACACAAAACACATAATATTTTTATGACAGTCAGGATGAGAACATTTTAGAAAATTTATTTAGAGTATGTTTCATAAAATTAAATCAATTGATGCTTTATCTTAGCCATACAAAGAATTCTACTTGCTGATGGTAAACTGGCTTTGCAAAAAAAATTAGAAAGGGGCCATGGCACAATTTCCTAAAAATTCTTTATTTGTGTTCAAAGTGAAAAAATAATGTCAGTTTTCCTTGATATCTACATTATTATTCCAACGAACGAAGTTCGGTAGGGATATAGTTAAGCCCTCCGTCCGTCCGTTTGTCAGTCAGTCAGTCCGGAAGATAACTCAAATATTAGTTGACGGATTTTCTTCATATTTGGTGGAAAGATGTATATTGATGAATAGTTTTACGCAAAAAAAATTTTCAAGATGGCCGCCGCTTTAAAAATGACGGGACTTTTTCGCAAAAATCATAAATTTTTCATTCTAAACCAAAGTAATTAATATTATTGTTTGAAATTTATATTATTATATATAATTTATATATTTATATTCGCAACATCTATCTATTTCACATATATTCTGTGTTTTTCAGGAAAACAGAAATTTTCGCTAATTTTTAGATCTTTCTGAAGTATAGCTTTATTATACTCAAATGAAAGGCAATTAAGAGTAGATTGCAACAAAGGTCATCTTTATAGCGAACAGAAAGTTTGTTCTTCAGGAAGAGCTGTTTATATTTGGGGTTATAGTCACTCAGATTGTTTTCCTTCATATGTGCCTGATACAGCTCATGGACATGTTCAAGTGTTTCAACTCCATCGGTTTGAAGGACATGTTCATCTTTATGCTTACATATGACGTCAAATGATGTTATTAAAACCTTTTCCTCTTCATTTATCGTTCGTAGGTATAATGGTACCAAGCTTCTGCTGATATCAAACAGCGTCCTCCTATTTTTGCATGTAAAGTCCAGTCTTCTTGGGCTTTCACTGCATTTATTATTGATGTTGAAGCGTTGTCTGTTTGGCATTTTGTTAATGATTCTTTTGTGTTTCCTTTGAGATATTTCAGATCTTTTTCACAAAAGAGGCACTTGTTTTGTTCAAAAAGGTTGCTTTGGCGTAATTTCTTACTATGACATTCTTCACCAATTGCTAGAGCAGAGGATCTTTTCCTCAAACTTCTCTCGGACATGATATATACGTAACAACACTAATACATTGATTTACAGGGTTCTACTCAGTTGCATGATATATGGAAAAAAGTATATATATTGGAAGGGCAACACTCCACGATGCAATAATGGAAACTAAACGATGGTGTATTAAATGACCTACCTTAACTGAAACATAAAAGTAAAAAATAAGGAATAACTGTGTATATAGCACAACTGCAACCGCAACACACTATCTGGAACCACTGTCCAAAATCACTCACAACCGCACCGCACTGTCTGGAACCACTGTCCAAAATCACTCGCAACTGCCCCGTAATCTATTAACACAGAGTCACTAAACTTTATCTGTATGCAGCACACATAAACAATGTGTATTAGATCACCTACCTTGACTTCACCCTAAAATTATAAAATAAAGAAAATAAAGAATGCCTCTGCATCTACACAGTTACGCAACCGCACCGCACTGTCTGGAACCACTGTCCAAAATCACTCGCAACTGCCCCGTAATCAGTTAGGCAACCGCACCGCACTGTTTGGAACCACTGTCCAAAATCACTCACCTGACTTAAATCACTCACCTGTCCGAAATCACTCACTGTATTTACCCACAATCACTCACCTCTATCTAGATGTAGCACAGCTTAACCGCACAACGTATATCTATTTCATCAGGTCTGCACAGCTAATCAAGAAGGCATGAACTGTGGTAATGGAAGCATAACATTGACAACAAAAGCTCATATCAACAACTGATTTATCATTGCATATACAACTTATTCCTAGGAATGCAGATTTAATTTGCCATCACATTAATGAAGTCTAAATTCTAATTGCAACATTTAAATAATGCTCTAAATTTGGTATTATTGTTATATCAAATAGGAATTATTAACTATTTTTATGAATAACATTATTTTCTATCTGGATATTAAGCATGACGGGAATCACTCAAACATGTATATTTCATAAAGATATCAGGTTGATTTAAAAAGAAACAAATATATAGGTAAGCATGTGAGTGAGTGATAAATTAGTATCATCCAGAATGAGATTAATGAATTTATTTATATAAACAATAATTTATTTGATTTTGTTAAAATGCGTTTTCCTCAAAACTTCAAGATGCAAATTAAGCACACATAAATAAAATCACATTGATGACCTCACAAAGCCATGAATGTATATTTGAAGACAAAGTTTATATCCTTAATTAGATAATATACCCCATACCCCTTTAATGGTCAACTGTTTTAACAAATGATTTCTGTTACCATAACAACCAGCAGACCAACAATAGCGAAACTTCCCATGATGGTTAAACATCATAACTATACTAATATCTGTTAATATCAGAATGAATAGTCATATGTTTATTCACAAACTTGGGTACAAATAAAGTTTTCTTGGGAAAAGTGCCACGCCCCCTTTTACACATTTTTTGCATAGCCATATTATCATCGGCAAATATAATTAATTGTATGGCTAAAATAAAACATCAATTGATTTAGTATTATCAACCATACTCTAAATAAGTTTTCTAATATGTTTTCATGCTAATTCCTCCCAATTCCAGGAAAATATTATGTGCTTTGTCTCAGGGTAGGTCTTAAATTTTTACGAAAATGTGTACTTTTTTAACAAGTGATTTCTGTTACCTTAGCAACCAGCTAACCAATATTGATGAAACTGCTCACAATGATAGGACATGATAAGAAGATGATTACCTGTAAATTTCAAGATGATTGGTTGGATACTCTAGGAATTATACATGGCTTTCCTAGGACCCCCCTTAAAATAACACCAGGGGGGTATAAATCTGCATATTTCCAAAACGCTGAAAAACTAGACACCAATAGTTTCAGAATCAATGTAGAATAATAAACCACAAAAAAACTACATAAAGAGAAATTTGCTACTTTTCAAAACCACTTTTACATTATGCTCATCCAGTATATAAATCTACATACAATATAGGTCATTATAACATATTCATTAGACATCATTATATATATATATATATTTTTACAACTTATCATTGCCATACCCCATAGCATTGTTAGGGTGTGTGTGGTCAGTAACAGGAAATACATGTGTTATAGTAATACCATCATTTCAAAATTGTATTTCGGGTGCCATTCTATCTTAATGCCCTGCATGTAAATGTGATGTATGCTGAAATTCCCCTTTGAATCACTTTATTAATAATTTAGTCACCATTAAATGATGATATAACTCAAGATGTCAGAAATATGATGGATTTTGTAATAAATGATAATTTTTTTCAAGAAATTGTCGTGCTTTCTAGAAGTTTTGACAAGTTCGAAATCGTGTTAAAAAGTTGGAATGGAGCTTTTTGTAACAAAAGACCGAAACTTTACCTAGTAACCTAAAAAACATATACATAGAGACAATAAAACAAATGACCGTATAATAACCGTGAGATATATATAACATCACTATGGTAACAATCAAACTCAAGATTACTGTGACATACTTTGCTATACATTCCTGTTAAGAAACATTATATATATTTTTTATACATACTTCATATTTATTTCTAAAAATCAATCGGTTACATTTTTACAAATTGCCATTGTTGACAGGACAACATTATCGGCAATTGAAACATTTTGATAAATAAAAATTGATATTCAGAAATACACAAAATGTTCAGAGAAGCTTTTTCTTTTTTGTTGTTGTTTGGTTTGCTTGTTCCCCAGTACCAAGTTGTGGTATCAAGCTCAAATGTTAAAAATTACCCCGTCCCAGACTTAGTATCGCTTGAAATGTATAGTGAGCAGTGATTTCAATCAGTTTTTCATTTGTTTCAAAGTCCAAATTTTCATCTCCATTTAATAGAAAATGTGTTTTCCTTTGAATTGAGTATGCTTCAAAATCTCGTAAACAGTCCAAGTCTGATAGTCCTGCAAGAAGAACTTCACGTTCATTAAGGAGCAGTGGACACTTGATTAGAAAGTGTTCAGTGGTTTGGGATATTTCACCACATTGACATTTGGGATCTGTTACCGACAGGAAATTATGAGAATAAAAGTGACTGTTCAAAAGTAGACCAGCTCTTAGTCTATTGAATTTGATTTCTATTTGCCTTGGCATGCACCTAGTCATTTTAGTAGTTGATACAGAGACAAGGCTCGTGTACTCTCTCACTGACCTTTTAAACCTTGAAATGGGTTGACCAACTCTAATCGCTGCTGGCAGTTTATTCCAAACCTTCATGGAATTAAAAATAGTGGATTTACCACAAGATGAACTCAAATGATTCGGAATTCTATAGTCATGCTGGAATCTGAGGTCTCTGGTATGAGTGATTTCATATGTACGAACTAGGTCACAAATAAAGGGTGGGAAACAGTTGAAGCGAGCTTTGAATAAGAAAATTTTTAAATGTTCATCTCTTCTCGAGGAGAGGGTTTTCCAATTAATAGAGGAAAGTACTTTGTCTGTACTTGATCCATGGATAGCACCAGACACCAGGCATGCTGCTCTGTAATGCAGTCTGTCGAGAGCTTGTAGTTTTGCTAAGGAGGCTTTATTATAGATTATGTCACAATAGTCAAAGTGTGGTAAAAAATAGGCATTATAGATTTTTTCAAGGTGCTTACCTGGTATATTTTTACAGAGAGCTTTCAAGGGTCTAATTAGGGAGGTTATTTTACCAATTAATTGATCTATATGGGCATTGAAATTAAGTTTACAATCCAGGACTAGTCCAAGATGTTTATGAGTTGTGCAAATGGGTATCTCTTCACCTCCCAAAGTTAGGGGAGATTGGTTAATATTCTGGGTGCATTGTCCCGAGAAAGTTATGTCAGCACTCTTTTGAGCTTTAAATTTCATTCTCCATAGTAATGACCATTGGTGTAAAGTGTCAAGGTCATCTTGTAATGGCTGATTAATGTTTAAAAAGACTTCATTTTTATCATACGCATCATACAGTGAAGTGTCGTCAGCAAAAATAAAAGTTTTTGAGTTGAGATTGTCGGGTAAGTCGTTAATATAAATTAGAAATAATAGGGGTCCCAAAACAGACCCCTGCGGCACCCCCGCATTTATGGTAAAATTATGACTACCATTATGGCTAGGATCAAAATTGGCATTACGCTGTTCCCGATCTTTTGACCATTTGGATAAACTATTGTTTACCTGTACTTGTATTCTCCTATTTGAAAGATAAGATGTCATTAAGGAGATAAAATTGTCATTACATCCATAGGCTTTTAGTTTTTTTAAAAGAAGATGGTGTGGAAATAAGTCAAACGCTGACGTGAGATCAAGAAATATGGAACGAACATTTTTACCATTATCGATGTTAGTATGGAGGTCATGAACAATATGAATAAGTTGGTTCACTGTATTATGTTTGGGTAAAAAGCCACTTTGGAGTTTGTATAATAAATTATTTTCAAGCAAGTGGAGAAGTAATCTCTTATGGATGATCCTTTCCAATATTTTAGAAAAAGTACATAAGAGGGTCACTGGTCTATAATTACTTATTGTGCCTCTGTCCCCTTTCTTAAATATTGGGATGACAGTGCCTTCTTTCCAGATGTCTGGGAAAATATTCTCATCTAAAATTCTATTAAACAATTGACTGGCAGGAAGACAAAGAGAAGAGGCGCTATGTTTAATCATTTTGTTGGTTATCTCATCAGGTCCATGGGATTTATTTACATCTAGGTTAGAGAACAGCTCAAATACCTCCTGTGGAGAAGTTCTGATTTCTGGCAATATTGTATTTGTTGTTAAGAAACATAAAAAGAACAATTTACAATATTTTATGATATAAATTGTCCAACTGATACCCATTATCTATAATATATATATATTATGGCAAATATTCATTAGACATCATTATATATATACCTGTTAAAGCCTCACTACTTTTATTTTTATAACCTGCAAAGAAAAAACTAATAATCCAGGAAGATAGGCAACTTGACTATATTTCCTATACCTCCAAATTTTCCTTCAATTACAATAAGTCGAAAATTAATGACAGATTTGTTGATTTTTTGAAAATCAACATTCCCATATAAACCAATAGGAAATGGTAAGGTTGCCGCAAGTCATATGATAAAATATCCATCCATCCGAGTTCCCTCAAAAATACAAATTAAGTACACTTGAATTTGCTCACCTTATCTAACAAAAAATCAATGTGTTTCTTCAGATTTTAAAAAGTCATAGGTCTCCAAAGTCTAAATAATTTTTTAAGAAACCCCTCCAATTGAAGGAGGTGAAAAATGATCTCCAAAATTGACTTTGAAGCTCTGAAACTTTAATGATATAACTCTGGAAGAATTTGACTCAAAATAGTAGGGTATGTTATGGCCATGGCACCATGTCATATGTTTTGTAATAACCCCTATCTACCATATTTAAGAAACTTGATTTTTATGCCAAACATAAACAGGCTTTGAAGTGATTTAAAGGGGACTTCCAGTTGCCAATCCTATGGTGGGAGTGTAATACAGGGTGTTCAAAAAACGCAACCCAGAGAAATCGCTATACTGGTCCAATTATGTTCATATTTTCAGGAAATAAAGAAGAGACTGTGTATGTATAGCTCCTGTGAATGGTTAGTTGTAAAACATGATGCCTTGGACACCTGCTTGAAAGACAGTTGTACTAGGAAAATACGAAAAACGCAGTCAGGGGTGACTGCAACCGGAAAAACTAAATAACTTCCTAACCATAGTGTTTTGGCTCTTCAAATTTGGCACAAATCATCTTCATAAATCTATAGAGAGAAATCAAAATCACTTCAGGGACTTACAGTCATGGTCGAAATGCTTTCAAATCGCAGTCAAACGCCCTGGTTCATGGAGACTTAAAAAGGCATTTTGACCATGACTGTAAAGTCCCTGGAGTCATTTTGATGAAACTCCACAAATTTACCACACATTGAATGAGGATAATTTGTGCCAAATCTGAAGTGCCAAAACACTATGGTTAGAAAGTTATTTGGTTTTATTGCTGTGGCAGTCACCTCTGACTGCGTTTTTATATTTTCCTAGTACAACTGTCATTTGAGCAGGTATCCAAGGCATCATGTTTTACAACTTACTGACAACAGGAGCTATACATACCAGTCTCTTCTTTCTTTTCATGAAAAATGAACATAATTGAATTAGTATTTTCCAAGATAAAGTGATTTTCCATTCACGTTTTTCGTATTTTGCTAGTACAACAGTCTTTTGAGCAAGTGTCCAAGACATCATGTTTTACAACTAACTAACAACAGGGGCTATACAGTGTACATACACACTCTCTTTTTTCTTTCCTGAAAATATGAACATAATTGGATTAGTATTTTCCAAGATAAAGCGATTTCTCTGGGTTGCGTTTTTTTAACACCCTGGCCTGTATATGTAACATGTTATCATTCATGATTCATTCTATCATATAAATCATAATTACATGAACAGCATTAGGATAGAATGGCACCTGAAATACAATTTTGAAAAATGTTATTACACATCTATTTCCTAATTGCTGACCACACATTAGGCTAATACCCTATACGGTGTTATGAGGTATGGCAGTGATAAACTGTAAAAATATATAATGGTGTATCATGAATATGTTAAGCATATTATGATGTCACATATCGTACATAGCGTATCGTTTTTTTAGAATAACACATTTTGCTGTATAGTAATGATACACATTTTCTATTTGACCCCAGCAGCAAGTTCAACAACTGAAGTGTAAGTTACCAAGCAACTTGTAAAGAGAAAAATTAGAAAAATGATAAAAATTGTCGACTTAGCACTTTTGAGCCTGATTTGCATGTCTTTTTTACATGTCTCGGGGTCAATTTGAATCTAGGTAGTTTGGACACGAAGAGGGTTGGCCGTAGACCTATACGAATTTTCTTTAAACACTGCTTTTTAATTGCTCGAACTCGTTTCTACTATTAGGCTTTTAGGGGTGCGTGTCTAAAGCTTCGCTTTATAACCAATCTCGCCAGAGTTCCAAAGGAAATAGAGGAGGTATGCTTCCATGTTGTCAACATCGTCCAATCGCAGGGATTCAGAAATCATCCTCCTATTTTACTCTCTCAGAGTAAATTCCCAAACCCGCTCATTAAATGAAACCTGTTGACCTGTCAGAATTATCAACAATAGTCTTTTGCACTGCCCTTTACCCTCCCCCTCCCAACGAAGCTCAGATCGATTTCGGACATATTCCTGGTTTTAGCCGAGTGGATCGGACATAGAGTTTCGATTTCGAGAGAAAATCTTGATTTCTGGATCGAGATGATACCCGGAGATTGGAGGATGATAAATTAGATTAACATTAAATCATTCTGATAAGCACGACTGGCAATCCCGTATGTGTATTTCTTTAACTTGGACACTCGTGCCTTCATCTATAGACTAATCATAATGTAGCTTATCCCATTGTCTTTTATTTATATAATACTGCCTTTGTGCTTTCCCTTTCTATACGTCTTTAGTTGAAGCTCCAACAATAAGTAGAGATGATGTTGTTAGATTTTATAATTAGGAAATATTCTGCGTACACTACATCCAAGAGTTTGGAAAGTCTGCTATCATACACATGTGAAAGCCTGCTTACGTCTGACGATTTCAACATTTGATTCTTGATTCATCAATTTCCGAGAAACTAAATTCAGGAACAAAATCAAGAATCAAACGCGAACAGGTTTTAGCACGCTATTCAACGAGACTTCCAATTACTCAGGTGCGAGTAGGTAGTTATCAGTTTCGCCACCAGGTGGCTGATTCAGTGGAAATAACATGGCAGGGTATTACAAAATTCCCTTAAACTTGAATATGCATCAGTTTTAGTGGTTCACTTTTCATATTACCTTTATGTATCTGATAGTTATACAAATTAAAATATGTCCAGTAAAAGAAAAATATATTTCACTTTTTGTGGTTTTACAACATGGGGTCTATGAGGAATCTCCCCGACCTAGAAGTCACATTTTCAAAGAAAATAAAATTTTCAAAGTTGATAAACTCTTCAAAACCACATTTCTGAATGTAATTTTACATGTAGATTCCAAATATGACATCAACTTGACTGAATTGTGAATTTTTAATGACGTAAATCAAGATTACTTCTACTCGCATCTGGGATATTGCCAAACTTATGGTGGGGATGTACAGTCTAAGTAACGCATCAACTCGTGAGCTTATATAAGATGCCATGTTGAAAAATTGTATAAACTTTGTATTGTGTCTTGTGTTAGGCTTCTTTAGGTTCTACACACCATCAACATACGATTTAATGTAAGTTTAAAACTATATTGAAGCGCCCCCCCCAGAAGAAGTGAATAGCTCCCATAATTCTTTGGTCTTGGCTTAGTATTCATGAAAATAATTTATTAAAAACACGCCCATCAATATATGATACCCAATCAAATTGCAAGATATGATCACGTGGACAATCATGAGTAGATGTTTTTCCAGAGCCGCGCAACGCGCAATGTAAAATTTGAAAACGGAAATGGCGTTTATTTCAGTTCAACATCATCATTTCTAAACTGCGCAGGGGCGTAGCCAGCTTTTAGTCAGGGAGGGGGGGGGGGTGCGATTGCGGTTTTCAGTCAGGGGGTGCGATTGTGGCATAAACAAGTCAAAAATAAGATTTATTTTGAATTTTACAAAAATTGATGCAACTTCCTTCAAAATCGAGCTAGAAGCTTCAAATAAAAAGCTTTTTAAAGCTCTTCAATATTTTCTTCTTCTTTCTCATGGTTTTATTTTTATTGGTTATTGGGGCAACCCCTGGCTACACCTATGATACGGTAATACTATTTAAGTTACTCCATCCAAACTTGTAGAGAATAATCATAAAACAACAGCGATAATTTTGAGATTAATTTTCAATGGCAAATGAGGCCTGTTTATAAAATTGGTTATCGAATGTGCCAGTTACAACCTTGGGGCAGAGACATGCGGGGTTACAACGCTTTGGTCAATTTCCTGATACTTTGATGCATGTCTGGTCATGAAGGTCTAACCGGAGATGTTTCAGGATTAACATATTGATCAGGTCTGTCACAGGGTGTCAAAAACCTTCGATTTCTTCTTACATGATGTTAGAATGGTATGGTTGCACCATGTATGACCTTGGAGATTCATGTCTTTGGATAATTGAAGCACGAGCTTTCGTGTCTTTTACATACATATTCACTATCAGGTTGAAGTTCTGATACGGAATTTGACACTCTGTGAAGTCTAATCATAGTTTTGCTTTGATACTAGACGATTGTTTGCTTCAACCTGTTTAACTTCTGAGATATGTCAGTATCTTCATTTAAATAATGTGGACATCTGGGCTTGTTTATTTACTTATGCTAATGTACTGATGGCTATGTTAGTTATTCATCAGGTCACATGGTCACTCCAGTCTAGCAGTCAGTCAGTCTCTTAGCAGCTTACATGTAGCATTAGGCAGTAATATGCGCTAGCTTTTTCTTTGAAGTTTTTAAAATATATATAGTGAATATATAGTTTAACAGTAAAGTATGGATGAAGAATGTAGAACAGTGCTAGAAAAATGGAACGTGAAAGAGGAAACCATGGAAGTCTTAAATGCGAATGGTTTCAATTCCATCCTTGCCTTGAAAACAATGTTACCAGAGGATATCAAAACTCTAGAAATTAAACCCCTTGGACAAGCACGCCTGTTAGATAATTGCTTACGAGAGCTATCTTATTTACATGGCCCTACAGAGGTTCAGAATGGAGAACATGCCAATGTTCCCCAGGGTCAGGACGATGACCCTAATCATCAAGTTGGAGCAGCACTCCAGGAGCTTATTGCTAGGGAGGCAAACGTGCCAGGAATTGGAGCCTCCTCTACACCTCCCCCCTCCCCCAGGCTTTGATCCACATCTAAGTTTAAAATTAGATAAAGGTGAGAAGCCCTGTTTCATCAGGGATTGGATTAATAATACACCTATACAAGAGGCATGTGAGGAATCTATAATCAATGAAACGGGAGGGACCTCCTTCATCTTGAAGCGATCTGGTTCGACAAAACCAAAATTAGAGGATATTACACCCCACCAATGGTGCCTAGCATCAGTTCGGATCCTTGCCCATATGATGGAAACAGGAAAATTAACGGGTTCTGTCATAGATTATCTTGCTTATATGGCAAAAATATCTCAATTTGGTCAGATGTTTTCATGGATATCGGTCCTCAGATACGACAATGAGTATCGTTACCTGCAAGCCCAACATAAATTCAGATGGGGTGTGGATGTGCCGAGCCTCAAAACAGAGCTCAAATATAAGAGTGTGCTAGCTGCAAAGGATGCGGGGAAACCCACCACTAAAAGCTCGCCCCAGGAGAAGGCAAAGAAACCTCCCACAGTATATATATCACCCACAGGCAAACCATTGTGTGGATTGTATAACAAGGGTGAATGCACCTTTTCCCCTTGTAAATATGAACACATGTGTTCTATATTTTTTTTTTTTTTTTTTTTTTTTTTTTTTTTTTTTTTTTTTTTCTCCCTTTATTACATAATTTCATTGTACATATAACTATAAGTAATAATAACAAATGGTGCCTTAAAAAGTAGACAATGCCACTCAAAACATGTTGACTTTTGTATCAATCACAAATCTCACCCTAGGATATCCTAAAAAGTGCTTATTTGTGATTGTGATTGTATAAATCTACATAAACTGAGTGGAATTCACTTCTCAAGTCTTAACGAAAATCTTGAAGTACAGACAACAGCGTCCATCACATATTCCATGCGTGAAGTACGAGTTATATGATTAAACAACATGTTGTGTATGTGCTTGTAATGTAAGTACTCTGTCTGGTTCTTCTTTTATGAACTCAGTAATATGCTCATGAATCCATTTTAGTCCGACTTGGTTGTAAACACTGACACTGTTTAGGAGAATATCGTAGGCACAGTCAATCCATTTAAAATCATGTGTATCTTTCAATAGTGTCCCTTTAATCTCAGATTCCTTTGCTTCTAAGTCATTTGATATCACCACCATGATGTCATCAAGGTTTGCAATGTATATATCCATATTCTCCTCTCCTCGTTCTTGATGGGCAAGAAAGATATCATGTATGTTATTGTTACGGTCAGTGTCTTGTAAACATTCTTGAATGGTTCTGGTTGACTCATTGTTGGTAAAATGTTGTTTACTGAGTTTGGCCTCAACGAATGCAGATTTATTCAGAATTTCATCTGTATTTGTGGAACTAGTTCGTTTTCTTATCCTTGCACTTACTGCTTTATTTTCGGTTTCAGTTACCCTTGTCTGAGTGCAAATATCATTTGTCAATAATATATTTGTATTACTGGACTTGTTCTCTGTCTGACTTTTATATTGAGAGTTTTTCCTCTTTGATGAAATAGATTGCTGTTTCAGTTTTGGTTCAGTTTGCACTGACTGTTGTTCAACTGTTTGTGTTTCAACATTACTGATAGCCATGCTGGGTGTTTGTGTTCCGCTATGCTCAGTTACTGATTTTAAGTTTATTGGGTGTACTCCAACATTTCCTTTTGTGTTTTGATATGGTCCCTCACTAGGTATGTGGCCTTGCTTTGGTGTGAATGGTTGTGCTTTGCACCAGTCGGATGCACTCAGAGGTGTTGAGGTGTGAGCTCCTGCTAATTTCCTATTGTTCTCAGTTTCAGTATAAAACATTGTATTGTATTGTGAATCATTTTCACAGCTGGATTGCTTGGAGCATGAATTGTTATACTGGGTCATTCTAACCTGGTCTCTGTGTACTTGCTTTTGACTTTTCCTGACCTCCTGTCCTCGATATTGGCCTGTAGTAAATCTCAAACTTATGGTTGTATACAGTTCATCGCCTTGCATTTTATAGTTGTAAAACATCTGTCCTTGCAATTTTAGTAACTCCAATACGTCCTCCACCACTTTAGGTAACATATCCATGATAGTCTGTGAAATTATATTGTAAAATTATTCACATTTGTGGCAAAAATGTTCTAAAATCCAGGAGCTCTGAA